GTAAAGAGTCTGCAAATGTGCAAAATTGCGCCATTGCCGCACATCTTACCTGCTCTTTGGTTTAACTGAGAATAAAGATAACATCACCAGAACAGTGATGTCCACTCTGAAATCTGTTCCTCCTATAATCCAACCTTATTACCCATCTCTTTCCAAATAGCTTACCTAATAGACACCTCCAACTGCAAAGCTAATTATAGCTTTCATAATATATGGCAACTCAGTATAGGGATAATTCCTAGATATTTAAACTAGTTGAACTTAAAGCCCACCGCACGGCTTACCAGCCCTCCCTTCACAGTTTTCCTTCTCTCCCTCATTGGAACACTCTCATAACAGTTGAAAAAAAAATCTTCATTGAGACTTCATTCTTGGCGTATATGGTCTGGCATTGGTGATGTCACAGATGCTCTTCTTCCTTTGGAGATGGGTGATACCTAAGTGCTGCAGAAAGCTTTCTGCCGAATTCTTCTGTAAGTCCAGGTTGGAGGAGAGATGCTCTGATGCCTTGGATACACAGGAAGTTGACTGAATGACACTTGGGGGTTTATTTACTAAAGCTGGAGAGTCCAAAATCAGACTCCCTTCTGCATAGAAACCAATCAGCTTCCAGGTTTCATTGCCAAAGCTTCATTGAACAAGCTGAGGTTAGAAGCTGATTGGTTTCTATGCAGAAGGGAGTCTGATTTTGCACTCTCCAGCTTTAGTAAATAAACCCCTTGGTGTCATTCAACTCAGAAGATTTTAACTTGCTGGATCGCTGACAGAGGTTAAAGGGTAAGTTCACTTTAAAAAAAAAAAAAAAAGAAATAAAAAAACAAATGCCCATTTTTTTGCAGGTAAAAAAAATGTGCATTTACTATTTTGTTTTTGGGAAGTCTGGAAAGTATTGCAGCAGCAAGCAGCAGATTGCTGGTGCCATGCAGGATGCCTGAAAACTGTCAGTGGCTTTCCTGTACATCCCGTATGGGCAAGCAGATATAGTCTGACAGGAAGATTCAGTAAACTACAAGCGGACATCCACAAAAGCTGTTGGAACTCTGTGAATGAGTGATGCGGCCATACTGCTGTCACAGGGAGGGAGGGGGGAATCGGGCAGCGGCGGGAACGTTACATGTTCCACCCTAAAAACGGCTGGAACAAGTAACATGTTCCCAAAGGTGATTTTATCCTTTAAGTCACTTTTTTCAGGCCGTACTGGATTCTCTTTTTTTTTTAGAATTACTTTTGGGAGCTACTATTGCGGACCTTCTAAAAATGCTACTGGCTTAGTTGTTAATCTTTAAAACCTTTAAGGATAATAATAGAGAAAAAAAAAAAAAAACAACTTTCTCTGCATACGTGTAAACAGTAAGGAAACATGAAAGGAATAGGCGCAAAGGAGAATTGCCAATCCCATAACATTTAAAAATCATGAAAAAGAAACAGGGAGAAGTGCCTCTAAGTGTGGACTCATAGACAATTTTATTGCTCACAAAGTAAAAAACTCACATATTCAGGGGAATGAATAGACTCATCAGTAAAAACACATCAGCGGAAGTTGGTGCTCCTTCCTGGTGATGTGTTTTTCTGAAGAGTTTATTCATTCCCCTGAATATGTGAGTTTTTTACTTTGTGAGCAATAAAATTGTCTATGAGTCCATACTTAGAGGTGCTTCTCACTGTTTCTTGTGTTGTAAAAAGTAATTAAAGTGCTTGTAAAGCCCTTACATATATCCAGTGAAGTGCCTAGCCTCAGGTCTGCAGTCTTCTCTTCATCCAAAGTGCTGAACATATAAAGCTTGGCTGAGAGTTCAGAAAAAATGGGGAGGAGAGCTGAAATTACACTATGCAGCGCTCAGTGAAGAGAGCTCTGAGAACTGATTGGAGGGAAGAGACACACCCTCCTCCACACAGCTCACATGAACCGAGCTGAAGCTGTCAATCTTCAGGAGGTCCCTCCCCTATCACTAATTTCCTTTTGGTGTCAGGAAAACTTGTCAGAAATGATTCATGCTGATAGCAGAGGAACAAAGCAGCAGACAGAAATGACACTTAGTGCTCTGGATGGAGACAATTACACCCTATAGAGGATTATGCTTTGACCATATTTCATGTCTAAGGTTTACAACCACTTTAAGCAAATTGTCAGCATGACAGTTGGGCAACTGAGATTTTCGCTGGAAAGTTTCCAGATCGCCAGCTTCTTTTGGCGACTGGAATATTCTACTCTTAAGGGCCCATAGTGTTACAATATGACACTAATAATGAAACATTACATCAGCAAGGATGCTATCAAAGCTGGAGACGGAGGATTGGGCAATATATGTGGCTGATATAAAAAGGATGTAGGGAAAGGGGGGGGGGGGATAAAAACCCATTGATCTATTCTGCTATGTTAAATATGCCATTAGTTTTTAATTATATATCTTTAGTGCAAAAATATTTGTTTATCATTTCAGAAATTCAGAGCTTGCCTGGGCATAGTTGCTGCATTACCTTAACCCTTCTAGTTCATATCTTGGACCACAAAACAACTAATCTTCATTGACACTAACAGTGATGTTTCTAGGACACCTCTAAACGCAAATAAATGCAAGTAATAATAGAAATGGTAGTTCATGCTGTGCGTTTACCCACATTTAGGTGCATTCAGTAGGGGAAGCAGTTTTTGTATACATCCCAGATAAGTTTTCCTATGTTTAAATAAACCTATACAGCAGTCTAGTGTTAATCTAGCCTAGTCCCATGTTTTAGAGATAACAGTGGGAGGGATTCAGTGGTTTAGGAAGTCCTCATGCGCACTGGGCATTTTTAAAACGCTGGTGACGTTAGCTGTATAAAGTCACGTTGAAAACGCACGTTTTTCAGCATTTTTACATAAGCTTTTAGCCACGTTTTTTACCCCCCCCCCAAAAAAAAAAAACCCCACCCAAACTGCCTCTAGAAACCCACTAGTTCTGGGGGTTTCTTTCCAGCTAAAAAACTCCCCTGCCAAAAACCGCTGATTAAAACCTAAGTGTGTATGGACACATAGGATAATATGCTGGGGAGTTTACTAGCTGTACCCCCCCCCCCCCCCCCCCCCCCCCCCCCCCCCCCCGCCAAAGGCAAAAAACAGCAGCTGTAAAAAGGTTCAGTCTGCATGAGGAGTAAAAGACATTTCAGGGAGGCCCAACACTATTCATTTCACATAAATGCTGTCACCAGCAATTTTTTGAGGAAATAACTTAATAATGATAAAAGTTATTGTCATCAATCATTTTTTTTCTCTATATTTGACCAAAAAGTCAAATTTTGCTTTTTATTCAAAAGAATATTTAAAATAAAAAGACAAACAAAAATGGCATGGACATTGATGGGATCCTTAACCCCTTCACGCCTAAGGGTAAAACAAATCTAAATGCCTAAGCACAATTCTGCAACGTTGACGTGTTAGTAAAACCGTACATATCGTCACAACTACTTTGTACATCCAGGTGGATTATACCTTGTTTTTTTCAGGACAAATTGGGCTTTCATTTGGTGGTAAATGGTCATGGATAGCTCCTAATTTTTTTTTATTATTAAAGGAAAACTGGGCCAAAATAGAAAAAAAAAATCATTTTTTTTAATTTAACTGTGTGTTTCTTGTTACGACCATAACCTACCACCAAAGAACAACTCAAAATACATTCTCCAGTTCTTGACGATCGCAGCGATACCATATATGTGTATGTTATTTGTTGTTGTTTGTACCCGTAGTACAGTCCAGAAACAACAGTGCGCATTTTGTTTTTGTCTTTTTTTTTTTAATATAAAACACACTGTCACTGACATTAACACTAACTGACACCGTAGAAAAATTTCGATTCGAGTCGAATATATTCGCTGTGAATTTAACTTAAAAAAGGGTGTTTCTAGGCTTCAGAGAGACTTAATATTAGTGCTGAACACTGTACCTTTAATTTAAATGCCCTTGGAGTCTGCTGGGGAAGAGAAATAATACTGTCAGGCAGTATGACATGCAGATGAGTGCCGTCGATCTTAGAATCACCGCACACTTCACTCATTTGGCCAGTCACGGGGCCAAAACCAGAGTGTGGAGCCACAGTGTGGCGGTGGAGGCAGCAGCAATGGGAGGCCATACAGCACCCTATGACAAAAATGGAAACCACCAGCAGTGTGAGGAGACCTGAAAGTGGCACATGGCAGAGTGTGGCGATAGAGACAGCAGCAATGGGAGGCCGTACAGGGACCCATGACACACTCTGGACCTGGCAGCAGCATGAGGAGGCGGTACAGGGGCCCATGGCAGATTACGGGCCTGGCAGCAGCATGAGGAGTCGGTACGGGGGCCCATGGCAGATTACAGGCCTGGCAGCAGCAATGGGAGGCCGTACAGGGACCCATGACACAATCTGGACGTGGCAGCAGCATGGGGAGGCGGTACAGGGGCCCATGACAGATTACGGGCCTGGCAGCAGCATTTGGAGTCGGTACGGGGGCCCATGACACACTCTGGACCTGGCAGCAGCATGAGGAGGCGGTACACAGGGGCGCATGACAGATTACGAGCCTGGCAGCAGCAACTTGGACAGGAGGACGTTCAGTTTCTGCACCGTCTGGTGCGTGCTCGCAAACTGTTGTCTCTTGGAAACGGATTCCAAGAAAGACTGCTGACGGAATCCGTGAAGAGGAGTAGCAGGAGAAGGAGCATCTGAACGAGCGGAATATGCCCAACAAGCGACAACAGGGGCCCATGGCAGATTACGGGGGGCCTGGCAGCAGCTATAGGGGGGAGGCCCGTAATCTGCCAGCACCCTATGACAAAAAATGGAACCCACCAGCAGTGTGAGGAGACCTGAAAGTGGCACATGGCAGAGTGTGGCGATGGAGACAGCAGCAATGGGAGGCCGTACAGGGACCCATGACACACTCTGGACCTGGCAGCAGCATGAGGAGGCGGTATATAGGGGCCCTATGGCAGATTAGGGGCCTGGCAGCAGCTATGGGAGGCCCGTAATCTGCCAGCACCCTATGTCAAAAAATTCTACACACCAGCAGTGTGTGAGACCTGAAAGTGGCACATGGCAGAGTGTGGCGATGGAGACAGCAGCAATGGGAGGCCGTACAGGGACCCATGAGAGACTCTGGACTTGGCAGCAGCATGAGGAGGCGGTATAGGGGCCCATGGCAGATTAGGGGCCTGGCAGCAGCTATGGGAGGCCCGTAATCTGCCAGCACCCTATGACAAAAAATGGAACACACCAGCAGTGTGAGGAGACCTGAAAGTGGCACATGTTTGGGGCATGATTCATGGCGGATTTAGTCAGTTGTGTCAGGAACTGGTGGTTTGAAATCCAGACTAATCCACGCCTGATTCATTTTCACAAACGTCAGTCTCTCCACACTTTGGGTGGACAGTCGTGTCCTCCGCGGAGTTGCAATACCTCCTGCCGCACTAAACACGCGCTCCGATGCCACGCTACTGGCCGGGCATGACAGCCTTTCAAGGGCAAATTCAGCTAGTTGGGGCCAAAGGTCAAGTTTCGTTGCCCAGTAGTCAAGGGGATTGTCTACCTCGGTTGGCAGGGTGCTGTCCAAGTAGGCCTAAGCCTGTTGTTTGAGGTCCTGCTCCAGGTCCACCTGATGCTGCTGCTGCTGCTGCTGCTGCTGCGGCTGGTTAGTAGTTTCCTCATGCGCTGGTGAAGAAAGCTACTCATCATCGACTGCAGACTGAGGCAGCCGCTGCTGGTGGTGGACTGCTGCCACTGCTCCCCACCACCCCCCCCCTCCCCTGCTGCCATGGCAGCGGAACGCGAGCGCACAGGGCCCACAGTGTCTGAGGATGGACGTTGGCGCAGACAGGCAGAGACCAGCTGACTACATAGGTGGTTTTTTTATAGTACGTTATTTTGGCCTCCCTCTCAGCAGGTGTGAAAAAGGCCACCATTTTTGAACGGTAGCGAGGGTCCAACAAGGTGGACAGCCAAAAGTCATCCCTCTGTCTGATGGTTATTATTCGGCTGTCGCTACGCAAGCAAGCGAGCATGCTATGGGCCATTTGTGCCAAGGAATGCGAGGGACTCCCTGCCTCCATCTCCACAGCATACTGCCACGGTGCGTCTGGGTCCTCTGTCTCCTCCTCCTCCTCCTCCTCCTCTACCAGATGCTCCTGCTCCTCCACTCCTGTCCGCTGAGTGGAAAAACCACCCATTTCACTCAATAATTCCTGAGCACCAATGTCCTCCTCTACCTCCTCCTCTTCTTCCTGTCCTGCCCCCACAGGGGTCATGTGGCGTTGAGATCTGTGCGCCACGTCTACCGCACCCTGACCAGCCATTGTTAACAGCATTTGTTCCAGGACGTGCAACAGAGGAATGACGTCGTTCATCCCATAGTCCTGCCGACTCACGAATAGCGTGGCCTCCTCAAAGGGCCTGAGCAAGCGCAGGTGTCACGCATGAGCTGCCAATGGCTGACATCTAAGTTACACAGGGAGTACCTTTATCCGCTTTTAACATCAGGAAATCTGTGATGGCCTTTTGCTGTTCGTAAAGGCGGTCTAACATATGTAGGGTTGAATTCCACCTTGTTGCAACGTCACAGCATGAGGAGTCGGTATACGGGGGGCCCATGGCAGATTAGGGGCCTGGCAGCAGCTATGGAGGCCCGTAATCTGCCAGCACCCTATGTCAAAAAAATTCTACACACCAGCAGTGTGAGGAGACCTGAAAGTGGCACATGGCAGAGTGTGGCGATGGAGACAGCAGCAATGGGAGGCCGTACAGGGACCCATGACAGACTCTGGACCTGGCAGCAGCATGAGGAGGCGGTATATAGGGGCCTATGGCAGATTAGGGGCCTGGCAGCAGCTATGGGAGGCCCGTAATCTGCCAGCACCCTATGTCAAAAAAATTCTACACACCAGCAGTGTGTGAGGAGACCTGAAAGTGGCACATGGCAGAGTGTGGCGATGGAGACAGCAGCAATGGGAGGCCGTACAGGGACCCATGAGAGACTCTGGACCCTGGCAGCAGCATGAGGAGGCGGTATATAGGGGCCTATGGCAGATTAGGGGCCTGGCAGCAGCTATGGGAGGCCCGTAATCTGCCAGCACCCTATGTCAAAAAATTCAACACACCAGCAGTGTGTGAGGAGACCTGAAAGTGGCACATGGCAGAGTGTGGCGATGGAGACAGCAGCAATGGGAGGCCGTACAGGGACCCATGACAGACTCTGGACCTGGCAGCAGCATGAGGAGGCGGTATATAGGGGCCTATGGCAGATTAGGGGCCTGGCAGCAGCTATGGGAGGCCCGTAATCTGCCAGCACCCTATGTCAAAAAAATTCACACACCAGCAGTGTGTGAGGAGACCTGAAAGTGGCACATGGCAGAGTGTGGCGATGGAGACAGCAGCAATGGGAGGCCGTACAGGGACCCATGACAGACTCTGGACCTGGCAGCAGCATGAGGAGGCGGTATATAGGGGCCTATGGCAGATTAGGGGCCTGGCAGCAGCTATGGGAGGCCCGTAATCTGCCAGCACCCTATGTCAAAAAATTCTACACACCAGCAGTGTGTGAGGAGACCTGAAAGTGGCACATGGCAGAGTGTGGCGATGGAGACAGCAGCAATGGAGGCCGTACAGGGACCCATGACAGGGCCGGGACAGGGACCCATGACAGACTCTGGACCTGGCAGCAGCATGAGGAGGCGGTATATAGGGGCCTATGGCAGATTAGGGGCCTGGCAGCAGCTATGGGAGGCCCGTAATCTGCCAGCACCCTATGTCAAAAAATTCAACACACCAGCAGTGTGTGAGGAGACCTGAAAGTGGCACATGGCAGAGTGTGGCGATGGAGACAGCAGCATGGGAGGCCCGTACAGGGACCCATGACAGACTCTGGACCTGGCAGCAGCATGAGGAGGCGGTATATAGGGGCCTATGGCAGATTAGGGGCCTGGCAGCAGCTATGGGAGGCCCGTAATCTCTGCCAGCACCCTATCAAAAAAAAATTCACACACACCAGCAGTGTGTGAGGAGACCTGAAAGTGGCACATGGCAGAGTGTGGCGATGGAGACAGCAGCAATGGGAGGCCGTACAGGGACCCATGACAGACTCTGGACCTGGCAGCAGCATGAGGAGGCGGTATATAGGGGCCTATGGCAGATTAGGGGCCTGGCAGCAGCTATGGGAGGCCCGTAATCTGCCAGCACCCTATGTCAAAAAATTCTACACACCAGCAGTGTGTGAGGAGACCTGAAAGTGGCACATGGCAGAGTGTGGCGATGGAGACAGCAGCAATGGGAGGCCGTACAGGGACCCATGACAGACTCTGGACCTGGCAGCAGCATGAGGAGGCGGTATATAGGGGCCTATGGCAGATTAGGGGCCTGGCAGCAGCAGCTATGGGAGGCCCGTAATCTGCCAGCACCCTATGTCAAAAAATTCTACACACACCAGCAGTGTGTGAGGAGACCTGAAAGTGGCACATGGCAGAGTGTGGCGATGGAGACAGCAGCAATGGGAGGCCGTACAGGGACCCATGAGAGACTCTGGACCTGGCAGCAGCATGAGGAGGCGGTATATAGGGGCCTATGGCAGATTAGGGGCCTGGCAGCAGCTATGGGAGGCCCGTAACTGCCAGCACCCTATGTCAAAAAATTCAACACACCAGCAGTGTGTGAGGAGACCTGAAAGTGGCACATGGCAGAGTGTGGCGATGGAGACAGCAGCAATGGGAGGCCGTACAGGGACCCATGAGAGACTCTGGACCTGGCAGCAGCATGAGGAGGCGGTATATAGGGGCCTATGGCAGATTAGGGGCCTGGCAGCAGCTATGGGAGGCCCGTAATCTGCCAGCACCCTATGTCAAAAAAAAATTCTACACACAGCAGTGTGTGAGAGAGACCTGAAAGTGGCACATGGCAGAGTGTGGCGATGGAGACAGCAGCAATGGGAGGCCGTACAGGGACCCATGAGAGACTCTGGACCTGGCAGCAGCATGAGGAGGCGGTATATAGGGGCCTATGGCAGATTAGGGGCCTGGCAGCAGCTATGGGAGGCCCGTAATCTGCCAGCACCCTATGTCAAAAAATTCAACACACCAGCAGTGTGTGAGGAGACCTGAAAGTGGCACATGGCAGAGTGTGGCGATGGAGACAGCAGCAATGACCCATGACAGACTCTGGACCTGGCAGCAGCATGAGGAGGCGGGTATATAGGGGCCTATGGCAGATTAGGGGCCTGGCAGCAGCTATGGGAGGCCCGTAATCTGCCAGCACCCTATGACACACACCAGCAGTGTGTGAGGAGACCTGAAAGTGGCACATGGCAGAGTGTGGCGATGGAGACAGCAGCAGCAATGGGAGGCCGTACAGGGACCCATGACAGACTCTGGACCTGGCAGCAGCATGAGGAGGCGGTATATAGGGGCCTATGGCAGATTAGGGGCCTGGCAGCAGCTATGGGGAGGCCCGTAATCTGCCAGCACCCTATGTCAAAAAATTCTACACACCAGCAGTGTGTGAGGAGACCTGAAAGTGGCACATGGCAGAGTGTGGCGATGGAGACAGCAGCAATGGGAGGCCGTACAGGGACCCATGACAGACTCTGGACCTGGCAGCAGCATGAGGAGGCGGTATATAGGGGCCTATGGCAGATTAGGGGCCTGGCAGCAGCTATGGGAGGCCCGTAATCTGCCAGCACCCTATGTCAAAAAATTCTACACACCAGCAGTGTGTGAGGAGACCTGAAAGTGGCACATGGCAGAGTGTGTGGCGATGGAGACAGCAGCAATGGGAGGCCGTACAGGGACCCATGACAGACTCTGGACCTGGCAGCAGCATGAGGAGGCGGTATATAGGGGCCTATGGCAGATTAGGGGGGGCCTGGCAGCAGCTATGGGAGGCCCGTAATCTGCCAGCACCCTATGTCAAAAAAAAATTCTACACACCAGCAGTGTGTGAGGAGACCTGAAAGTGGCACATGGCAGAGTGTGGCGATGGAGACAGCAGCAATGGGAGGCCGTACAGGGACCCATGACAGACTCTGGACCTGGCAGCAGCATGAGGAGGCGGTATATAGGGGCCTATGGCAGATTAGGGGCCTGGCAGCAGCTATGGGAGGCCCGTAATCTGCCAGCACCCTATGTCAAAAAATTCTACACACCAGCAGTGTGTGAGGAGACCTGAAAGTGGCACATGGCAGAGTGTGGCGATGGAGACAGCAGCAATGGGAGGCCGTACAGGGACCCATGAGAGACTCTGGACCTGGCAGCAGCAGCATGAGGAGGCGGTATATAGGGGCCTATGGCAGATTAGGGGCCTGGCAGCAGCTATGGGAGGCCCGTAATCTGCCAGCACCCTATGTCAAAAAATTCAACACACCAGCAGTGTGTGAGGAGACCTGAAAGTGGCACATGGCAGAGTGTGGCGATGGAGACAGCAGCAATGGGAGGCCGTACAGGGACCCATGACAGACTCTGGACCTGGCAGCAGCATGAGGGAGGCGGTATAGGGGCCTATGGCAGATTAGGGGCCTGGCAGCAGCTATGGGAGGCCCGTAATCTGCCAGCACCCTATGTCAAAAAATTCTACACACCAGCAGTGTGTGAGGAGACCTGAAAGTGGCACATGGCAGAGTGTGTGGCGATGGAGACAGCAGCAATGGGAGGCCGTACAGGGACCCATGACAGACTCTGGACCTGGCAGCATGAGGAGGCGGTATATAGGGGCCTATGGCAGATTAGGGGCCTGGCAGCAGCTATGGGAGGCCCGTAATCAGCCAGCCCTATGTCAAAAAATTCTACACACACCAGCAGTGTGTGAGGAGACCTGAAAGTGGCACATGGCAGAGTGTGGCGATGGAGACAGCAGCAATGGGAGGCCGTACAGGGACCCATGACAGACTCTGGACCTGGCAGCAGCATGAGGAGGTATATAGGGGCCTATGGCAGATTAGGGGCCTGGCAGCAGCTATGGGAGGCCCATAATCTGCCAGCACCCTATGTCAAAAAATTCAACACACCAGCAGTGTGTGAGGAGACCTGAAAGTGGCACATGGCAGAGTGTGGCGATGGAGACAGCAGCAATGGGAGGCCGTACAGGGACCCATGACAGACTCTGGACCTGGCAGCAGCATGAGGAGGCGGTATATAGGGGCCTATGGCAGATTAGGGGCCTGGCAGCAGCTATGGGAGGCCCGTAATCTGCCAGCACCCTATGTCAAAAAAAATTCTACACACCAGCAGTGTGTGAGGAGACCTGAAAGTGGCACATGGCAGAGTGTGGCGATGGAGACAGCAGCAATGGGAGGCCGTACAGGGACCCATGACAGACTCTGGACCTGGCAGCAGCATGAGGAGGCGGTATATAGGGGCCTATGGCAGATTAGGGGCCTGGCAGCAGCTATGGGAGGCCCGTAATCTGCCAGCACCCTATGTCAAAAAATTCTCAACACACCAGCAGTGTGTGAGGAGACCTGAAAGTGGCACATGGCACATGGCAGAGTGTGGCGATGGAGACAGCAGCAATGGGAGGCCGTACAGGGACCCATGAGAGACTCTGGAGCAGCATGAGGAGGCGGTATATAGGGGCCTATGGCAGATTAGGGGCCTGGCAGCAGCTATGGGAGGCCCGTAATCTGCCAGCACCCTATGTCAAAAAATTCTACACACCAGCAGTGTGTGAGGAGACCTGAAAGTGGCACATGGCAGAGTGTGGCGATGGAGACAGCAGCAATGGGAGGCCGTACAGGGACCCAGCAGGTATAAGGGGGAGGGGGCCTGGCAGCAGCTATGGCACCCTATGTCAAAAAATTCAACACAGCAGTGTGTGAGGAGACCTGAAAGTGGCACATGGCAGGGACCCATGGGACTCTGGACCATGCAGCAGCTGAGGGACCTGGCAGCAGCATGAGGCAGCAGCATGGGAGGCGGTATATAGGGGGGCCTATGGCAGATTAGGGGCCTGGCAGCAGCTATGGGAGGCCCGTAATCTGCCAGCACCCTATGTCAAAAAATTCAACACACCAGCAGTGTGTGAGGAGACCTGAAAGTGGCACATGGCAGAGTGTGGCGATGGAGACAGCAGCAATGGGAGGCCGTACAGGGACCCATGACAGACTCTGGACCTGGCAGCAGCATGAGGAGGCGGTATATAGGGGCCTATGGCAGATTAGGGGCCTGGCAGCAGCTATGGGAGGCCCGTAATCTGCCAGCACCCTATGTCAAAAAATTCTACACACCAGCAGTGTGTGAGGAGACCTGAAAGTGGCACATGGCAGAGTGTGGCGATGGAGACAGCAGCAATGGGAGGCCGTACAGGGACCCATGACAGACTCTGGACCTGGCAGCAGCATGAGGAGGCGGATATATAGGGGCCTATGGCAGATTAGGGGGGGCCTGGCAGCAGCTATGGGAGGCCCGTAATCTGCCAGCACCCTATGTCAAAAAATTCTACACACAGCAGTGTGTGAGGAGACCTGAAAAAGTGGCACATGGCAGAGAGTGTGGCAGCAGATGGAGACAGCAGCAATGGGAGGCCGTACAGGGACCCATGACAGACTCTGGACCTGGCAGCAGCATGAGGAGGCGGTATATAGGGGCCTATGGCAGATTAGGGGCCTGGCAGCAGCTATGGGAGGCCCGTAATAATCTGCCAGCACCCTATGTCAAAAAATGGAACACACCAGCAGTGTGTGAGGAGACCTGAAAGTGGCACATGGCAGAGTGTGGCGATGGAGACAGCAGCAATGGGAGGCCGTACAGGGACCCATGACAGACTCTGGACCTGGCAGCAGCATGAGGAGGCGGTATATAGGGGCCTATGGCAGATTAGGGGCCTGGCAGCAGCTATGGGAGGCCCGTAATCTGCCAGCACCCTATGTAAAAAATTCTACACACCAGCAGTGTGTGAGGAGACCTGAAAGTGGCACATGGCAGAGTGTGTGGCGATGGAGACAGCAGCAATGGGGGAGGCCGTACAGGGACCCATGACAGACTCTGGACCTGGCAGCAGCAGAGGAGGAGGCGGTATATAGGGGCCTATGGCAGATTAGGGGCCTGGCAGCAGCTATGGGAGGCCCGTAATCTGCCAGCACCCTATGTCAAAAAATTCAACAACACACCAGCAGTGTGTGAGGAGACCTGAAAGTGGCACATGGCAGAGTGTGGCGATGGAGACAGCAGCAATGGGAGGTCTCCCATTGTCCCAACATGGCCCAAATAGTCCCAACATGGGCCCCCTGGCCACGCTTGACTTTCTGGCCACATAGTCGACATACGGCTACGTTTACTTTACTTCCTCGGGCGGCTTGACGAAAAATTGCCACACCGCCGAGTAGGAAACTTTGCCCCCGATACTCCTCACTGGCTGACTGCTGCTTCCTCCGTGCACACCGGCACCACTACTGGCCGTGGTGGTAGGCTGCAGTGGAGCTGGTGCTCTACTCCGTGGCCGTTTGGCTCCACTGACACTGCTTCCACTGACACTGCTGCGACCCTGCTGCTGTCTCCTGGGCAACCCACCGACTGTTTCGCTCACTGCCAAGCTGCCACCCTCTTCTCCTGATGATGCGGAAGAAATTGCCTGATGACGACGAGGCTGCCAAGTGCGATCAACCTCCTCATCATCAAGTAGGGTCTCCGCCTCACTACTAGCCCCCTCGGCTGCGTCTGGGTCAGGAGACAGACCTGTCTCTAGACCGGCTACCGGGCCACTCTCCTCGCCACTACTTCTTCGCCTAGCTGCTGAAAAGGCGGATGTCTCCCCCCGTTCCTGACCGCCCTCTGTTAGCTCTTCCTCACTGTACAGTGGGGCTGAGCCCACAGCATGCGATACTTCGCTTGGTGAGGGAACACCAAAGGACAGGGGCAGGTAGAGGACACGTGATTTCAGTGGGCTTGGTCCCGGGCCATGCCAACTAACGGTTGTGTCTGACGTACCCACCGACCGTTGGCTGTAGGTGTCAGAGGTGACCTGGGAAGAGGAAGACGACCGAGCCAACC